TCCCATGGCAGTCCGAGGTGTTCAGGCGTCTCTTTTAGTGGCCCTTCTGCAACTGGGACTCGGAGCCCACGATGCTCCCACGTCACCTCTGTCTCTGGAGGGCTCCTGCTCCCACGCCCCGCGCAGCAGGATGCTCGCTCCCAGGCGGGGCCCTGCGGCCTCTGCCCCCAGCCGAGGGGAGGACCCAGCATGCGGCGCGAACGCGGCTCCAGCTGCGGCTGAGGACGCGTCTTCCTGCACTCCGGGCGGGGAGGTGGCGTGGGGCAGGCACGGAGCTGTCTCTGTATTCCTGTGGGTGAGGGAACGTGGCCCTGCTGCGGCCCGTTAACTGTTGAAGTCACAGTTAGCTCTTAGAGGGCCCCTTATTTCTAGCAAGGTAAGAGGTAAGCGGGAACTAACCCAGAGGTCGCGGAGAGCCGCGCCAGGTTGCGGAGCAATGAGCAAGGAGCGCAGCCAGCCCGCGCCGGCGCGGGAGGGAGACGCGGGGAGGGCAGTGAGAGAGACACTGCGGATGGGCACAGACTACCTGCGTGCGAGCCGTTTAGATGTGTGTGCAAATCATTGGGACCCTTCTTGCTAAATGCTTGTCACAAATTTGAGTAAATGGCTGGGACAGAGGCGTGGTGTTGCTAGTGTTTGTTAGCAGCTTGCATTACTCGGCGCTTCTGATCATTCGACCTGGAAGGGTACTGAGCGATCACTGAATCCACATCCTTCCCTGTTAAATACGGGGTGACTGAGGCGCAGGGGAGGGGAACAACATCCTCAAAATACACCCAGCAGAGCCCCCCCCCCCCCCCCCCCGGGCCTCCCCGCGCGCCCCAGGCCCCCTCTCGGGGTCACTTCTACTGGTCATTGATGTCAGCCGTGCCCCAGGGCTTCCGTGCGCCCGAGGGTCTGTGCTGCCTCTGAGCTTCAGCCATTGCCTGGAAGCGAACGTAAAGGAAGTGAGTGGGGTGTTACAAGCACTGTTACCATCGGAGGGGAGGGAGCCCACTGCTCGCCCTGCCGGGTGGCACCGGGCAGACAGGAGCTTTCCGTAATAGCCTTGGGGACAAACACTTGGGCAAAGGTTCTTTGTGTCCTTTTTGGGGCATTTGATTAGCTTCCTTTGCTTTGTCTATAGTTTTCCTGGAATAGGCAACTGTGCCTCTCATCACAAAGATATTAATAAAGCAGTGGAAGGAGAACAATAACCAGGGGTGGAGCATCTGACCGGGAGGGAGTCGGTGGAGAGAGGCGAGGGCACTGCCGTGAAGGAAAGTACGGATGGAGAGCAGCCAGGGCACTTTGCTGTCCGTTTCCTAGGCGTAGCACACTATAACAGGAATTTTCTATGGTGCCCTGGGTGATATGAAACATAGCTTATTGTTATTAGAATATATATACTATAGGATATTATATATTATTATCTGGTATGAAACATACCAGAATTAGCTGGTAATTCTAGGAAGAGCATTGGGAATAATTAGCAGTCACTTGCCAATCACAGGGGCAAGTCGGCCCATCCTGCCCGCTGCTAGTTCGCAGTCAGGGCAGGGAGAGAAGACGGGAGAATGAGCCTCAGTGACAAACTGTCCGACTCTGAATAACCCTTAGGAGAGCAAGGTGCTATTTTAGGAAGACACTCTGGGGACAGCTCCACAATGGAAAATCCTTGGTTCTGTGAGTCTGGGTTGAAAGAAATGTGGATTTCTTTTATCTGGGAAGCTTAATCACAAAGTGAAAAACATAGCCTTTCTTCCACAGCTGGAAAATTTAACTAACATGGGGCAAAGGAGGCTTACTTTTTTTAAAGGCAATAAATGAAACTACCAATGTGTCAGTTTGGGGAAGCCAGTCTTTGGTTTTATCCTAAATGAAAACTTGTAAGGGGCCGGCTCCGTGGCCGAGTGGTTAAGTTCACGCGCTCCGCTGCAGCGGCCCAGGGTTGGGATCCTGGGCGCGGACATGGCACCACTCATCAGGCCACGTTGAGGCGGCATCCCACATCCCACAACTAGAAGGACATGCAACTAAGATATACAACTGTGTACAGGGGGAGTTTGGGGAGATAAAGCAGGGGGAAAAAAGAAACTTGTAAGGCAGCAGGTGAGTTTATCCTGAAGGAAGCCTGTGGGACCGGCAGCAGCAGGCATGTGGCATATGTTTGTGTGCGTTTGTGTTGAAGTCCAGGAAGCTGGGCTAGGGGTGATGTGTAAACACTGGGAGAGGCAGGAAACTGGGCTGCTGGGTAGGGCTATGCCCAAGGAAACTCAGGCACATGTGTGCCTCTTGGGAGAGAGGAAGGTAGGTCCCGGGGCTGGGGGGTGGGGATGGGAAAGAATGCAGTGGGGTCTGTCCCACTCGCGGGTGGGGGGGGGGTGGGGGGGGTGGGAGGGGGCACCCAAACCTGCAAGAAATACTCTGCCCAGGGGGCAGTAGGAGGAAAAGGGGCTAGGTTTTTTTTTTTTTTTTTTTTTTTTTTTAAATTGAGAGAGAATTGATGCATAGCATATTAGTTTTAGCTGTACAAAGTGATGATTCAATATTTGTATATATTGTGAAATGACCACCACAATAAGTCTAATTAACATCCGTCACTTCACATAATTACAAACTTTTTTTTTCTTGTGATGAGAACTTTTAAGATGTACTCTCTCAGCAGCTTTCAAATATGCAGTACAGAATTGTTAGCTATAGTCACCATGCTGTAGATGACATCCCCAGGACTTATTTATCTTATAGCTGGAGTTTGTGCCTTTTGACCCCCTTCACCCATTTCACTCACCCCCTAGTCCCCACCTCCAGCAGCTACCAATCTGGTCTCTGTATCTCTGAGCTTGGTTTTTTTTTAGATTCCACACGCAAGTGAGATCGTGCAGTGTTTGTCGTTCTTTGCGTGACTTATTTCATTTAGCATGATGCCCTCCAGGTCCTCAAAGGGCTGTGTTTTCTGAGGTTACTGTGTACACTGGGTGCATGGGGAAGTGAGATGACAAAGGCTGAGAGATGTCATGCACTGGAGGAGTGCAGTCACCCTCCAGAAGTACCCTGCCTCGAGCATTTTAGGGACAATATAGAATAGATGCCCAAAGTAAAAATGGTGCCAGAATGGAGCAGGTCCAAGCGGAGCGGCGCTTACTGTGTGTAGGACCTCACTCTGACCATGCGGGTGCGCTGTCCTGCATTTTTTTCAGGCAGAAAGTTCAGGTGGTAACTGTAGATCTTGCACAGTCCCTGCGGGCTGGACAGCGAAGGTCAGCAGTGATTGGGAGCTGGAGCTTAGGAGGGCAGAGGGCTCGGTTCTCCTGGGACCTAGGCTGGGTGACAAGTGTCAGACACCGTGTGGACCGCTGGGCTACAGACAGCAAAAATTACCAGGTGAGCTTTAAAAAGCACTGATGCCTGGATTCCAGCCCGGCAAGACTAAAGCAGAATCTCAGAAGGTGGGAGTGGGACCCAGCCAACATGGGTCTAAAGGGAACCCACAAGTGCTTACAAGGCAGGTAAGGTGGAGAAATACTGTTAGAGGGCTTGGGAGATTGAAGAGCATCCTCTCCAAATTCATGTGCACCCAGAGCTGGAGGATGTTACCTTGTTTGAAATCAGGGTCCTTGCAGATGTGATTAGTTGAGTTCATACTGGAGTAGGGTGGACCATAAGTCCAACGGCTGGTGTCCTTATAAGAAGAGGAGAGGAGGGCTGGCCCTGTGGCTAAGTTTGCATGTGCTGCTTCTGCAGCCCCGGGTTTGCAGGTTCAGATCCTGGGTGCAGACCTACACACAGCTCATCAAGCCATGCTGTGGTGGTGTCTTATATGCAAAATGGAGGAATATGGGCACAGATGTTAGCTCAGCAACAATCTTCCTCAAGCAAAAAAGAGGAACATTGGCAACAGCTGTTAGCTCAGGGCCAATCTTCCTGACCAAAAAAAAAAAAAAAAAAGAAGAAGAAGAAAAGAAAAGGAAAAAGAAGAGGAGAGGACATGTGGAGATGCACATGGAGAAGAAGGCCATGTGAAGATGGAGAGAGATACTAGCGTGATGCTGCCACAAGCCAATGAGCGCCTGGGGTCACTATAGGCTGGAAGAGGCAAGGAAGGATTCTCCTCTGGAAACTTCTGAGGGAGCATGGTCCTGCTGACGCTTTGATTTCTAACTTCCAGTTTCCAGCACCATGAGAGAATAAATTTCTGTTGTTTTTAAGCCACCCAGTTTGCGGTAATTTGTTCCAGCAGCCCTAGGAAAATGAACACAGAGGGGATTTACAATACCTGGCTTATAGGGCCTTTTTTTCTAAGGTGCAAACAGATTTATATCCAAAGAACCTCATTGGGGGCTCATATTCTCACAAGAAGGGCAGAATCTAGGCAGCCTTTTCGTCTCTGGGTAGCTGCAGGGACATAGATTCTCTAAATAAGGGCCCCTCAGGGGTCGTGAGGCTGCCTTGTGGAAGATGCCCTCAGCGGACAGCTGGTTTGGAGAGGAGTCCAGCAGTGTGAGGGGTGTCACTGCCCTGTGGTCTCTCAGAGCAATGCGGGCGTGGCTGTGACTGTTTGTCTGCGGAGAGGCTGCCCTGGAGCACAGCCACAAGGAGACACTGTGAGTCTCCCTCTCGGCCCCCTCCAAAGGGACGTGCGGCCATTTTCCAGGTGACTGTGCACTGGGGAAGGGAAATAATGACTTTGGGGGATTATTAGCTGCTTATTGTGAAGCGACACTACTTCCTAGGGACTCAAAATGCTGCTGTGGTCCATCCGCCAGAGCGGGGGCTATTGGGGCCAGGTGGTTAAGAGGATTTTGACTCAGATCCATTTCACGGTGGGCCAAGTGTGTCTCTGGACCCATCCTATGCTGATATCCCCAGTTCTTTCACACATAATTGGGATGGACGTAATCAGCAACTGGCAGAATCCCCACATTTTTCCCTGATGTGTGGAACTACCCAAGGACTATTGTGATGGGAAAGGTCAAGTGGAAGATTCTAGAACTGCCTCAAAAGCATTATGATATTCCTGGAGGGACTGCAGCGATTAGTGCCACTATCAAAGACTTGAAAGTCAGAGGTCGTGAATCCTTCCATTTTTCTGTTTAACTTGCCTGTGTGGCCTGCGCAGAAGACAGACGGATTTGGGGAACAACAGTGGATTCTTGTAAACTCAATCAGATGGTGACCTCAGTTGTGGTTACTAGTCTAGATGCATGTTCTTCTCACATCCTCTGGTATGCAGCTAGCAAGCTCCTCAACCTATTAATAAAGATCACCAGAAGCGGTTTGCCTTCAGCCGGCAGGGCCAGTGCTGTGCCTTCACTGAACTGACCTAGGGTGACAGCAGCTCTCTGTCCTCTGTCATCATCTCACCCTCGTCTCTCCGTCCCGCAGGGCATCACACTGGACATCGCATCACGCTGACTGGACCTAGTGAGCAGGAGGCGAGTTGGAGAGAAACCGACCCAAACGCTTCAGTAAGACAAATGTGCAACCGACGGCAGAAATAGATCCCACAAAAACTCAGGAGGCTTTTATCTTGGTGAAAACGTCTAGGAGTCCAGGGCTCCAAAACACGTTGAGAGAGAAGTTTCTGCATCCAGCACTTTCTCCACTAAGAAGGAAACGCAGAATCTAATGGGCCTTTTTAGATTTTGAAGGCAACGTATACTTCGTTTGATCACGTCACTCTGACCCATGTGTTGAGCCACCCCAAAGGCCACCAGTTTTGAGTGGGTCTCATAGCAAAAGAAGGCTCTATAGTAGATGGCTATGAAAGCTGTGCTGCCACTTTGTCCTTGTGAGAAAGTATGCTTCCGTGACACTTGGTGTGTCTCTGACATATAAGGTGCCATAAAGCTGGGCGTGGACAGCGTTCCGTATCGGATGAGAGTGAAATGGACACTGCTGGGCTTGAGCAGGTCCTGAAGGCACATGTGAGTTACACAAGCAGCGGCTCAGGTGCGCATGGCTCCTAGTTCTGCTACATCGCTTCCTCTCCCTCAGCCTCCACTTGTGGCGTCACTGGGGACTGCCTATGACCTGTTTACTGGGAGAGAAAACTTCAGTCTTACTTTACGAATGGTTTTGCATGACATGGTCACCCAAAGATGGATGAAGTAACACATGGGACTTTATATGCTTCCTTGGGGAGAGACTTAGTACGTCTTTGTTTGTGTGAGAGAGGGTTGCACCATGTTAGGTGAAAACATTTACCTTTGTCTTTATTTGGGAGTTAAAAGTGGTTTAAAAAGGTGTATATGGATGTCCAGTTGGAAGGGGGTGGACTGGGGTGGTTTTGTACTTTGTCAACTTGGCAAAGCTGGAACTATGCTTTCCAGAACCGTTGCATGGGTCTGAGTTAGACCCGTACGAGGAGAAGGTTGTGTGACTTTTGAAAGGTGGAAAGAAAGCAGCAGCCGTCGCTTTCTGCAGATGGTCGTGGTTAGATGTGGTGAGAGACAGATACAGAGACACACTGGTTTCTGGGCTGTTCTCTCTGTTCCTCAAAGAAAGCTGGTCCAAGAGGTGTTAGTGGGGCCCACCCCAACTCCACATTCAGCTCATCTTCCCGACTGCTCACCCTGTTGGCCAGCAGCGACCCAGGCCCGCCTTCCATAGGCTTCTCCACTGGCTCATCTCTGCAGCCCGCCCTCGTAGTGGCCGTGCTGAGTTTCCCAGCAACTCCGGCAAACACCGACTTGTCCGCCAGTGTGGGGTTTCAGGCGGTCTAGTTAGAGACTCCCTCCTTCAGATCCTTGTTTCCTAGCTTTCCCCACAATTGTATGAGGTGTTATTTCTATAATAAATAAGAATTGATACTCTGAGCTTGAGAGGGAAGGAGAGTCACCAAATCCTTGAAGAAAGGACAGCAAATCTGGCCATTCTCACCAGAGCACAGCAGGAATGAGGTGGCTGACTGTCTGCCTTTTTTACCTCTCACCCAGCAGGCAGCACGGCCAGCTCTGGAACCTTCCACGTGCACTTTTAGGCCATCGTGAGGGATGCGGCTATGCTTCCCCAGACAGGAGGAGCCCTCGTGCACACTGGTCTTGGCGGTAAGATTGTAGTTATGTAATCACGTCAACAGTAAAATCTCGTGTGTGCGATGGAGAGACGAAGCTTCCAGATTACATCAGTGGGTGGATTGTTGAGGTCTAACCCTCCGGCAGCCCATATTAACTGAAAATTTAGCAATAAGCAATATATGAGTTGGGAGCCCTCAGGGGAAACTGTTGAAACATGTTTCTGGCATCTCCAAATGCCAAGAGGTGACCGTTTTTTTAACTTTTTATGCCCTAAATATATGTTCATGGAGCCGGGATCGTAAAAGCAGACCTGTAAGATGAATTTGGAAATATTCCTTATCTGGACCCCAAACAAACAAACAAACAAACGAACTAACTAACCCAGGGCCTTATTAAGGTGCACTACAGGATTCTAGAAGGTCTTAGTTCCAGAGATCCTTAAACCTGGAACTTTTAGAAAATTAACTGAGCTCCATTAAATTTGGCTATCTTTGCAGGGCAAGGGGACTTCTAACGTTTAAGTCATGAGAGAGCTTAGTTACTAAACTAGAAGTGTGGTGTTTTATAAGAACTCTGACCAAATCAGGCAATCTAAGTTCTCATCTGGGTGTTCCCAGAAGAGTCACTTATTCCCTTCAGGTCGAAGTCTCTTCCTCTGTGAAACAAACAGCTTGGGCTGGATCAGAGGAGCTTATCTCTCGGTCCAGCCTGGTCAGCCGCAGACCTGGGGCTGGAAGAGGGTGCTGGGGATGACGCTGCAGTGGCCCAGCGGGTGCTGGTCATTTAAGAACCGACTCTTTAGACCAGGATCTTGGATGTTCAGCTTCACCACTTACCAGCTTTGTGATTGAGTTTCGAATTCCTCAATTTTAAAATAGAAATACTGTAGAGCCTACATGATATGGTGCTCGTGAAGGCTAAGCCAGGTGCCTGTCAGATACTTGGAAGAGTGCCTGGCACGTGGTAGCAGCTCGAAGAAAGTCGATCATTGGTATCAGTATCAGTATCAGCATTAGTATTCATTCTATATATTACCTACTGCCAGGTTTCCAAATGCCACTCTGTGCTTTGATGGCAGAACCAACTGTGTGCATCTTAGCAATACTGATTCCTGGATTTCGAAACTGGAGATCTGGTTCAGTAGGTCCAGTTTGGGAACAGAGATCTGTATTTCAAGAAAGTTTTCCGGGTAACAACTGGTAGCCTTGTTTTGAAATCCTTGCTCTTAGCCAACACACACTCACACACACACACTCACATACTCAGGTAAACACTCTCACACACTCGCATCTACGTAATGAAGTTTATTTAAAAATAGAATTATAATTTGAAAAAGAATTCCTTGAGCTCACAATGAAATGAGTTTGCTTATTTGTACCCCTGCCTCATTTGAAGGATTGGAAGTGGCAGAAAGTGCTCTGCGGCACACTAAGCCTCAGTTAGAAGTGCTTCGTCTGACTTTCGAGAAGCCTGCAGGAAAGCCTGGCGTGGAGGAATGCAGGGGAGATGGCTGGCATCTGGACGTTCCTTCCACATGATGGCACACATCTGGCTCTTTGGGGCCAGTGGAACATTCCCCTTCCAGTTTCCCTCCAGATGTTTGAGGATATGAAGATACAGCCCAAGGGGTGAGCAATTTATCAAGCTTCACTGATCAATTACAAGCCGGCACGCAGCAGAGCCCTCGCTGGATTTCTTATGCTCATTGTGTATAAATGCCCAGGCTGTTTCACGCAGACACACCCTGCACAACAGGCCTTCAGTCAAACAGACGGTGGACTTTTTCATCCCCTCCTCCTTGTATGCACACACCTCAGGGGCCCAGAACTAAGTGAGCGATTGGTGCACATGTGCAAGTGGACATCCTGGAGCCCACAGATTGGTGGGCGGTTATTTGGCTTCTACAGAATCCACAGTAAGTTAATACCATTCAAATTCCTGCCCAGCTGTGCTATGCCTTCTCAAGTTTGCTGAAATTGAATTCAAACGCCAAAAACATATGCTGGCCGGGCTCAAAGAGCAACTGCTGATTGCAAACACCTGCTTATCAATGCCTAAGACATTCTGGGTGACTTTGGGGTTGTTAATTAAGTGAGGTAATCACAAGAAATATCATTCAAACTCCTTGCCCTTGCACATGAACGCACATTAAAAACCATTTTTTAAAATCTATTTTTATTTTTTCTGCTTTTTCTCCCCAAAGCCCCCAGGTACATAGTTGTATATTTTAGTTGTGGGTCCTTTTAGTTGTGGCACGTGGGATGCCGCCTCAGTGTGGCTCGATGAGCGGTGCCATGTCCGCACCCAGGATCTGAACTGGCGAAACCCTGGGCCGCTGAAGCAGAGTGCACGAACGTAACTACTTGGCCACGGGGCCAGCCCTCAAAACCATTTTTTTTAAAGCACTAAGAAAAAAAAAAATCTCTGATGGAAATGCTCAATGGTCCTAAAGATGGAAACTAAATTTTGGATTTGAGTTTTACAGATGTCAGTGGAAAATGCCACATAAAGCAAGACACTGTGCAGTTAGGATTTCTTGCCTCCTTGGGCACAGTTTCTGAAACAAGGGAGATTAAGATCCGTGGCCATAGAGCGTCTGGTACAGGTATCTTAAGGCCACAGGGAAAAAAAGTCATGCAGGAGACAAATCTGTTCCATCAGTCAAGGGCCAAACCAAATGCTTACAGTTCAGAAAATAGCCCTTGGGCTTCGAAGGGGCATGGGCGGGGTCAGAGTCAGCTGCCCGACCCTCAAAAATTCCTGGTGGGAGGCACTTTGATCCTGGCAGGTATCCAAGTTCCTCAGCTTTGCCGAGTGGTTCTCTGAGGGCAGGACTGGCCTCGGCAGCACGGGTTAGGATCGTGTGGGCGAAATCTGAGCAAAGAAGGTGGTCCTGCCATGTGGAGGGAATGAAAACGTGCTACACAGGAATCCTTCAACAGGCTGCTGGGGATCAGGCAATTTCACGTTCTGGAGTATTTTCTTTCAGTGTATGCCACTAAAATAACCGCCGGCTGGAGGTAGTGCGGGTCAGCAGGAAGTGCCCTGGCTCAGCCCTTGGGGCTGTGTTCTTGGCCTGCTGCTAATTTCCCATGTGGCCTTGGCGTTTGCTCTATCTCCTGGTCTCTGGTCTCCGTTTCCCCCCATCTCCCTCTTTAGCAGATTCCCTTTGCAGGAGGCATGCTTAGCAGAGCTCTGTTCTCTCCTCCCTTCCTTTGTGCTTGTCTGTAACCACTGCCCCTGCTGAGTAAATCAGTTTGCTTGTGCTGGTTAACACTTTCCCACAGCCCTTCCCAGCGCAATGATAGCAGGCAGGGCGTGTGTTTGAGGGGCGGGGGGGTGGGTAACGCTGCTGCATGCCTAGATTGCCACAGGAATAAAACCACGGAGGTAGTTTTTTCTATTTCTATCTTCTACAGTGTAGCTTTTTCTGAGATTCAGCCCTGAGCAGAGTTAAGGATCAGAACATTCTGAATTCAGAAAGAAATGAAACAAATGCAGTCAACAAGGATTTCCCCTGCTCCCACCAGTCCTGAGAGCTGGGCCGGGCCTGGTGTCGGCTGCTGTTGTCTGAAGCAGCATTTTCCAAACACCCTCACCTCAGAAGATGCTCCAAGACACCAAAGCTCTGGGCTCTGCCTGGGCTCACTTCTCTGACAGTTGCTGTGCCCCTGGTAGGCTGAAGAGTGGGGAGTCCCGCAGCAAAGAGAATGATTTAACTGTATGTAACTAAGATCCCCAAACTTACTGACTCCCCAGTGTTTCCTTTTCTGGAACACTTATGTGTAGACTTGTGTACGTGTGAAGCACAGTTTGGGAAACTCGGGCAGTAATCAGCAGAGTTGGGAAAGATCCTACGGCAAGCAGGTTAGCAGGTTAGCAGTCAACGCTGACCAGACTCTGGCAAGGAATGCGTGTCAGAGGGACCTGTGACATTCTTGATTGTGTTGCCCTTTCGGGTGGATTCTCACTTGCAGCGTTTCTCAAACTTTCCTTTCATTATCACCTCCCTAAGGGAAAAAATTAGATTAAATTTAGATTTTCTCTAATGAGAGAAATGAAATACTGAGAAATAAGATTTTGTGAATAGCAGTGAGCTTTGGAGGACCACAACCTGTTACAATAGCTGAGATTTTTGGCCCCCAAGAATCAATTTTTGCCCCCTTCGGGGTAGTCTCTCCCCACGGAGAATGCATGCTTTGGAGATCCAAGAAGAGTTTCCAGTGAGTTTGCCTGGTTCTGAGGGCATGTACTTGACCTCTCCTCTTTCTTTTGCTGGAAGAAGTGGGAGAATGGGGAAGTTAGAGGGGTGGGGAGAAGAGATGATTTGGCCCCATTGTTCCCACGGATTCTGAGCAGGTTAGAAATGAGTTTTCCAGTTTCTGATAAAGAAAACAGATTCAAGACTATTTAATATGTGGAGGTGATATGGGATAGGTTTTAAGAGCAAGGGTTAAATCTTAGCTCTGACGATTGTCGGCTGGGTAACCTTAGGCAAATTACTTAACCTTTCTGGGCTTCACTTTCTCAATCTGTAAATTGGGCATAATAGTACCCCCTTGGGTTTTTGTGAATATTTAATGATAAAATTCATGAGTTGTGCATGGGATGGTGCCTGAGACCTATTTAGCTTTCATTGGAATCCCCGTTTATTCACTTTTTATAATAAATTACTAATCTGATTATCTAATTTCAGGAATGTCAAGTGATAATATGTCAATACTTCCTAAATAACACTTGTATATTTTTACTTGTTGGCGGGGTGGGGGGGGGGGTGGGGGGTGGGGGGGGAGGGCGGAGGTGCCAATTTCCCTTTTAAGGAAGGATTAATGGCAGAGTGCTAGGCTTTTGTGGTTGATAAACAGGAGAGCTGTGTTTGGGTGGCATTTTTCTGCAGCCTTCCAGTTAGGTCATTTTGTGAGCCACGAAGTTATTAGGAACCCAAGTTTTGAACTTTTGCTCTATTGCTTAAAACCTGTGTGAGCCAGAGCAAGTTGCTAGACGTTGCTATGCCTCAATTTCCTCTTCAGTGAAATGGGAATGATCATGCCTCCCTTACAGCACTGTGACTCAGTGAGATAATGCTTGTATGAGCATTGCGATTTAGTTTCTAGTCCTGCTATAGTGGACGTTGTTGATTGCCTACTGAGTGTCAATTCCCACTGCTTTTCCTCTTGCTGACAAAAGTTGTTAGGAAGACTATCAGTCTTGTTGGAAAGCTACCCTGTGCAGTCCATATGCTGTGAATGGTGCTGATTCCACACCTAACTTTAGTGCAAGCCAGTTGGCACATAGCTCTCCCCTGGGTGATCTGAGCAGGGTTGCGCATAGGGAGGTGTGCTATTTCCCACCATGTGTGAGCAAGAGCACACATGGCCCCCGTCGCTTCTGGCAGCCGTCTCACAGCACAGGGTGACCTGCTTGAGACGAAGCCCGCAAAGTGGAGGTGGAGCAGAGAGGTGGAAAACGGTTGCATTTCTGATGGCAGCGCTAAGGCACTTATCAACCAGCCCTGATGTACAGGGCTGATGTTACATTTTCACATGTAACCTCCTGCTGGGCTTCGGGCTACATGTTGTGTAACTCAGTTTGAGTCCAGTTTAAAAGTATCCCAACGAATGTATCTATTTTTCCAAAAATCATTGCAACTTTGGGTTTATTTTATTTTTTTCATTTATTCATTCATTCACTTTTTTTCCTGAGCCCCTATGTGACTAACATTGTGGGAAATATAAGGAATTTAATTCTCAGCCTACATCCTCAAGAAATGCAAATTAGATAGAGCTGTATCTTTCTGTGAGCAGGAAGGCCAGGGATAAAGCCACTAGGGAAAACCCTTCCCTCACTAGGGAAGACCCTTCAGGGTCCACATGAGCCAAGGCACTGAGGCAGAGTTTCTGGGGGACCATGGGCAGGTCAGCTGGGTTGGAGCATTCATGTAAGAAAGACAAGGCTAGAAACTAGGGAATCTTGAATGCCAGCCCAAGGAGTGTGAAATTTTTTTCAAATGGCAATAAAAATTCATTGCAGAGTTTTGAGCTATAGAGTAACAGGATGAAAATGATATTTTAGGACCAGTAAATTGACAGAATTGTAGAACTGAGACACTGAGGTTGGAGAGAGAAGGGCCAGTTTCGAGGGTCTGTTACCTCCTCCCTTCAGCCCTTTTGAAATGATGAAGACGTGCAGGACCCCACAGTGGAGTGATGGTTCCGCCTGCCTCAACTCCAGTGTTTCCAGTCACACAGTTGGGTTATCAGTGAGAGCCACCCTTTGAACTAAAGTAGGATGTGAGGATGTGAGGACTTGCCTCTTCTTACATAGGAGATTTCTTTTCATTTTACTTTGTTTCTCTCAACTTTAAGTGTAAAGTTGAATTCCTTACAATCCTCAGCCCCGGGCAACTGAGAGGGTTGAAGGACGGTTGGAGTTTAATGTTCTAAGGTAAACCAGCCTGTAATTCAGATGGTTTCCTGGCTGATCTCTTTATTGTCATTATCATTATGCATATTCTTAAACATTTAAGAGAATCCAAACGTATTTAGACTATTGGCTCTGCCTTTAGCTCGGTGAGAAAAAGAAATCTCTGCCCAAGTCTGAACACGTTCTAGTTTTCCAGATCATCAGATTTTCAAAGCCTGAATATCTTGTAATCACCTTCCAGTGTATTTAATGATCTGATTTATTGCATTCATTACAAAAGGGGGCAACTTTCCAGTTATATCATTAAATGGTGTTCATCCATTTTAAAATAGCTCAAGGCTTTTCTGTAACTGGTTAGCGATTGTAAATATGCCCATGTCCCAGTCTTCACAGAGACGGTCATATATTCACCGGTAATAGATAGTTCTAATTGCTTTCTGAATATTTATTTTTGCATTTACTCATGTAATAAGTATTTGATTGTCCACCATGTATTGCATCTGTTACCAAATGCGGCAGTCATTCCTAATCCACTTCATTACTTCCCTTCACTGTTCAAACATGGGTATCCTGACTATGGCTTCCTGAGCCTGCTGTAAGACCTCTTGGTCCAACCAGTTGTCAAACCCAATGGAATCCTTAACTTGCACCACGACTTGGTGGTGCTGGGTACCATTGATCGCTCTCTCCTCGAACTGCTTCCCTTGACCATGATGACATTTTGC